AAAAAAAACACAAAAAAAAAAAAAAAAAAAAAAGTAAACAAATCGTTTAAAAAAAAAAAAAGAAAGAATATAGAGAGGCCAGCAGGGGGTGCAGTGGTTAAGTTGCTGGACTCCCAAATGGCGCACTATGGTTGAGTCCTTAACTGAGCAGCTTGAAACTCACATCAGGCACATGTATATGTGTGCCCAAAATTCTGAGAGGAGAATGAAGGAGAAGGGACTGTGAAGTGGTTATTCCCCTAGTAGGGATGATTTTTTGCTTTCTGTCTGTCTCTACAGCTAGCACACGCATCCTAGAACAAAAAACCTCTCTAATGAAAATAAGGGGGCTGGGACCAGCAGTTAGCGTAATGGCTATGTCGCTGGACTCCCACGTGGTCGACCGCGGTTCGAGTCCCGGACCCGGTGGCTTGAACTCACGCCGGGGACCCGGGCCCAAGATCCCGAGAATCCCGAGAGGAGAGTGGAGAAGGGATTGCGGCGTGGCCATCCCCCCTGGGGGGTGATTTCCTGCTTTCTATCTCTCTGTCTCTCTCTGTCTGTCTGGCAAGTGCACGCGCCCTATAGCAAAAACCTCTCCAAAAAATAAAAATAAAAAAATAAAAAAAATAAGGGGGCTGGCAGGTGGCATCGTGTTTAAGGTGCTGGACTTCCACATGGCTGACCAAAGTTCAAGTCCTGGACCTGGTGGCTTGCTTTCCCACTTTCTCGCTCTGTGTCTTACTCAAACAAACAAACAGAAACAAAACAATAATGATATATAAAATAAAGGAAATAGTTCTTTAAAAAAATAAGAAAGTTCAAGGGCCAACAGATAGCATAGCACTCATATCAATGGATTCCCACATGGCCACCCACATCTGAAGTCCCAGACCCAGTGGTTTGATAATCATGCTGGGCATGTGTGCACACGTGCTCAAAATCCAGAAAGAATGAAGGAGGAACTGCGACATGGCCATCTCTCCTGGGAGATCATTTCTCACTTTCCTTCTCATTGGGTCTCTCTCTCTCCCCGACAACTGTATGTGCCCTAGGTGGGGTGGGGGTGGGGAGATGATTTCTCACTTTCCCTCTCACTGTCTCCGTCTCTGTCTCTCTCCAATGAGCGCAACATGCCCTAAGGCAAAAAAAAAAAAAAAAACCTCTAATCACTGAATCTAATCAGAAAGAAGGAACTTAAGAAATCACTTTCTCTCTCTGGTGAGTGCATATGCCCTATAGCAAATTAAAAATAATATAATAAGGTTAAATAAAATGGGATAAATCATCCTTTTTAAAGAATTATTTTACTGAACTTTATTATTTATTTATTTTGACCAGAGAGGGACAGAGTAAGACAAAGAGAAAGGAAGCTGGTGGGTCCAGGACTTGAACTGCAGTCAACCATGTGGGAGTCCAGGGCTTTTAATCACCATGCCAGCCCTGAATAAATAATTCTTAAAAAAAAAAAAAAAATTCATATAGGTGACCAAACAGAATAAAGAATCAATTAAGATAAACACAAAAGGATTGAAATTATCCTAAGGAAAAGAAAAACAGTTAAATGAATAACGAAAATGTGCTTCCAGTTTATCTACCTTTTAAGAAGTCTTAAAAGTTTTTTAGACAGAATTTATATAGTTTAGGAAGTTGGAGGACATAAAGATTGCTATAGGGCCAGCAGGTGATGTGGTTGTTAAGGTGGCTGGACTCTCACATGGCTGAATGCAGTTTGAGTCCCAGACCTGGCAGCTTGCTTTCCTACTTTCCTTCTCGCTCTTTCTTTGTCTCTATCTCTGGTCAAGGGCCACAGATGGTGTAATGGTTACATGGCTGGACTTCCCCACATGGCCAACAGTTCAAGTCACATACCTGGTGGCTTGAAATTCATGCTGGACATATGTGCATGGGTACCCAAGATCTGGAGAGGAGAATGGAGAAGGGATTCTGGTGTGGCCATCCCCCCACAGGGGTGACGTTTCATCTTCCTCACTGTCTCTGTCTCTCTCCTTGGTGAGTGCACACACTCTAAGGCAAAACCTCTAAAAACAAACATACCGCCTGCCTCTCCAGAGGATTACTAGAAAGAATTAAATAAAGATACAACGAACTTGGGTCAGCCAGAATTCAAGGTAGCTAGATCCTAAATGGCTAAAAATGAGGTGGATTTCCCAGACCCTGCACTGCACAAACCATTGCAAGGTGAGTCGGCAGGTGGCATGGATGCTAAGGCGCTGGATCCCACATGCCTACCTGCCAGCTTCAAGCCCTATACCAAGTGGCTTGAAAAATCACACCAGGCACATATGCGTGCTCAAATTACCAAGAAAACATTTATTTATTTATTTAGTTAGTTTGTGTGTAATTTAACCAGAGAGAGAAAAAGTGATAAAGCAAGCCACCAGGTCCAGGTCTCGAACCATGGTCACCCATGTGGGAGCCTAGCGCCCTTAACCACCCTGCCACCTGCCGTCTCCCCCAGCGAGGTTTCTAAAAGGGACCCCCCCCATGTCATAGTGGTTAGGGCACTGGACACTCCCACATGGCTGACCACGGTTCAAGTCCCAGACCTAGTGGTTTGCTTTCTCACTTTCTCTCTCTCTCTCTGGTCAAATAAAAATAAAAGTACAAATAAAATTAAAAAGGCTCTCTGATGGATGCCTGCCTAGGGAAGAATGGGAGACGGTAAGCACAAGAGTCCAGACCCAGCAGCTGTTCCAGACTCTCCCTCCCCTTGTATGCGGGGACAGAAGTGACTGCTTTTTCCTATTTTCTCAAATCCTTCCGGAAGGCCTGGGGTGAGCCACTCCAACAAAAATCAACGGGTCATTGTGCCCCAGGGCTTACAGGACACGTCCTACTTCCTGTCCCTGGGGCAGTATCTTTTGTGATGCATTTAAGCCTCCTTATCTTTGCTAAAGAGCCCGGTTCTGCGGAAACACACCTCCCTTTCCATCACCCCTCACCCTCCCTTCCAGATACCCCACTTTTGGGGACGCGATCAATGAAAGAACTAGTTGCACTACATTCCAAACCTGTCTCTTATTATCAAAAGCAAATGCAATAACCCCGAGAAAAGCCGGCGACACACATTCTGGCTTGGAAATAAACCGCATTCACCAGGATTTCCACACTCAGTTATTTCCGTCCACACGTGAAGAGGCCCCAGAGGGTAAACGAACCTCCCGCAACGTCATCTGTGGACCGTGTAGGTCATGAAAACACCACGTGGGCTTAGGATACAGAAAAGACGAGCAAAAAGGGGGCGTCTTGGTGAACCGGACAAAGAGGGGTGACACTGGGGAAGGAAGGGGGGAGCCCGAATTCAGAGATTAACGCGGCCGCTGCCAGAGCGAGGCTGGGCAGGGCGATCCAGATCCTGCTTCCCACGAAGGGGGCCCTGCACAGGGAGCAGGGACTAGGCACCCACAGACCCTCCTGCACGACCCCGCAGGCCGAGTGGGGCCCCCCGGGGCCCGGCCCGTCCCCCCGCACGACCCGGGGACACGCGGCTGCGGGCTCCGAGCTGCCCCGAGAGGGCACCGGGCCGGGTCTCCGCGCAGCGTCGGGGCAGGAGCCCCGGGGTCCCCCC